TTTTTCCCCCCCCCCCCCCACCCCAGAATATTTATTCGATATTCGTTTACGGTTTCATCAAATTGTGTGAAAATCACCAACGGAACGGTGATCTAGTTATACACAATGTTGAATTTTATCCTTAGAAACTGAACAGGCTTTTACCATTATTAATTGAGCAAGCGATAAAGTGATTTTAATTCAAATCTTCTAAGGCCTAAATTAGAATTCCTACTCGGAACACTAAGATATGTAGAATTAAAATATAACATTAGGTTTACTTGATAGTGTCCGCAAGGCAATAAAGTAACACAAATAATGGCATTCACAAAAATCTTATCTGTGCTTCTATTTCAGTGTGTATTCGATTGCTCAGCGAGTGGCGTAATCAGACATACGATTGTCGTACTCAAAAATCTGTAACTGTATTTATACCATTCAACCTATATCTAATAACAAGGTATAATTTATTTGGATCTTTATCTACACAAAATAAATTTCCAAAAGTATCTGACGTCCCATTTCTGGTAAGTACATGTTACACTATTTTACAGAATTATAGATCGAAATGGATGAAAGTAACGCGGACGAAAATAAAAGACAAATAGTTTATTGGAATCATTCGATTGAATTCATTCATAGTACGCGGATATTTTTAGTTTCCTTGTTTTGAACATAGTCCATGTACTTATGCGCATATTACTATAAATCGAGATCTACCAGTTATAAAAAAACCTCGGGATAATTAAAATAAGTATTAACTGTGGTATAAGGTGCTATCTATGAATATTATATACCTTGTAAGGAGGCACAAGTTTCTGAATTTCTTCAACGGATACGTCAGTACCAACTATCCCAAGTAAATTCGCCGTTTTCGTCTGTAAATAAAAAAACATTGATTAGTATTATTGATTATTTGGCGTATTATTACGAGAGATCATTATCCCACAAACATATACTCACAGTATGATTACGACGATCTAAAATAGGGGCTGTAACTGAAGTCATAAGTTGTCCTTCCATCTGCGAATCGTATCTGCTGCTCTAAAACCAATAAATGAACAAGGACGTCATACTACACAGCACGTAATTCAGAGGAAGTTATTGATGGCATAAAAATCAGTATTAAGCCAGTTTTTAACACATTGTGTCATAAATATAAATGTATACAAATATTTTATATTATACTTTGTGACGTGAATTTCGGAAATTCAGTTACAAAGATTGCTAAGAGTAGGGAACAAACATAATCCATCTGCAACGATCCTCCAAACGTCAGTCACCCGACATTCCAAAGACAACTTTGCTTGTCTCGCCTATCGTTTTTGCACTTTGTTTCCGCCTATCGTCCTTTCTGCTTATTTCTGTTACGCTTTTCTGCTTTTTTTCGTTTTTATTTTTATTTTTGAGCTTTCCTATTCGCACTCGCCTACCTTCTTTATCGTTCTGGGCAAATCTACGTCCACACCACGAGCACGAGGCTGACCGCCAACGAGAGTTCCTGAGCTACCGGACGAGCGATCGACAGAGGCTGGACCAAACTGCTATTCGTTCCGGAGGACTTCCGTGGAGTCAAGGAGACCCGGGATGGGATCCCTCTACTACTTCTGCCGGCCGCCTGTACGGACTGCAAAAAAGGGCCTTCGCCACTCGCGCCGCCGATAGGAGGAAAGGATAATATCTATCTATCGTGCCGCCCAGTCTCCGAACGTTCCCTAGCACTCCCGTTATCAGTGGCCCCCGGAGAAGAAACCAGGGCCTACTCTTCGCTGGATCCTGCTGCTCGCACCGAGGACTCACGATCGGCCGCACCAAGGATTCCCGCGCTCAGCTCGGCTCTCTCCGCCTATCTTCGGACTCTAGCGCCTAATGCTTCGTCTCTGGCTACCGTCAAGCGTTAGATTTACCTATTCTATATTATTATATTGTGTTATCGCTCTACCGTGCGAATTAGGAATTAATAAGTTATGGAGGGGGGCCCCTAGGGCTCTTCCTCTAGCGACGAATTCCGGCTCGTTCACTTACGTTTGGAGCATCTAAGCTAACGGTTGCTTACGTTTGGAGCATGTCAGCTGGTGGTTGATTGCAAAAGTCGTTGAAGTGAACATCAGAAGCCGATTACGAAACTAACAGATATCGATTAAAAATTCTATTATATCGAAGGAAGGAAGGAAGGAAGTCTGAGGACCGATTTCCTCGATCCCGTGCCGGATATCTTTGGTGAGCACCTTCCGTTACCTTAATTTTGGAGATTTTGCAAATTTAAGTGAAGTAATCCCGGCACTTTGTCTCGACGGCAACTTTTCTCGCATACCGGGACTGAATGTCATTCCAGTCCCTCT